TACCTGCCTGCATCAGTCTAGAAGGAATTTCACTCTTGTTGAGGTCATGATTAGTGGGTGAGGAACTCACTTTCATGTATTCATTCACCTAATCTCTCAATTTCATTCAGTTGCCTGTATCATACCTAGTGTGCATATACACACTTCAGCCCATGAACTAGGCTAACAAGCTCTAACATCCACATTAGTAATGTATTGGGTACAACTGGACACAAGATAGACCTCAGGAAGACAGTGATTGGGGATCCTTCTCAATGCCTGATTGACCCTTCTGGACCCCTTTTCAACGCTACCTTCCCATTCTGTTCAGGAGGGACTTATGGCATATTCCCTCGTGGGGGGTAGACGGCTGGAACATCTAGGTGATTCTGAGACCAGAGTAAGGCAAGGAGAAAAGTAGCAAAGTCGTCACATGTTCTAAGCTTCCCTTTGAAGTAGTTACTGGGACAATGAGTCATCCCTGCCTCTCTCACAAAGTAAAAAATCTGCTGTGTTACCGGTGAGGGATAGATAAATCCAGCCTGCACAAAGTCACTTGGACAAAGCCTGATGTTTAGAACTGGTTATTTTCTGCACATGAAAACAGACTGGAAACTAAGGGAGATAGAGTGTGGGAAGAGTCTGTGCAGAAAGTTATACATGGAGAGGGCAGCCCCAAGCAAAGGGGTTGAAGTGACAAAGTCAGACCCTCACACTGGATTTGTACATAGCAGGGAGCCACAGGAGGGATGTCTCGTAACAGACAGGGAAAGCAACAAGAGAAGATGTAATTTGGGGAGGGGAGATTATGGCAAATCAGCAAAATTGATTACAAGGTTCCCTCTGTGGTTTGTCCTGGGCCTCTGTTTTCATTACAAGCTGGATTGGGTCATATGAGTTTACTAATAAAACTCCCATCCTTAGTGGGACTGTGCAAAACTTGCCAAATGGAACTTTACTAAAAGTTCAAAATATCTCATTTGGGCTAGAAATGTGCCAGGAACAGCTGCAGGATATTTTTGGTTTAGAATGTTTTGAGCACACGAAAATAGGAGCTCAGAATGCAGGTGTCTCCTGAGCCAGGACTCTCCCCTGGTGCAGTCATACCAGACTATGGAGCATGATACTATCACTTGCCTACTTTGGCATTTTATCCTCCTTCAGCCACAAAACGAGGTTAATGTTGCCTTCTCATAATACCATCACAGTATTCCACCTCTGACAGGGCATGACAGTCCCTCCAGAGCCCCAGACAGAAGAAGATACGCTATCTTGGGCCCATGGCTGGATGGGTAAAGGTGTGCTATAAACCCTCCGCATAGCCCCGGTTAAAGTGTGCTACAGCTTTTCTGCCCAGTGGGTTCTTCGCCTCTTACCACATTCTATGCATACATAGAATCATAGAACCATAAGGTTAGAAGGGAGTGCAAGGGGGCATCCAGTCTAACCCCCTGCCAAGATGCAGGATTTGTTGGGTCTAAACCATCCAAGACAGTTGGATATCCAGCCTCCTTTTGAAAACCTCCAGTGATGCATCAGAGGTCCCGGATGACTGGAAAATGCAACAGAGGTCCCGGATGACTGGAAAAAGGCTAATGTAGTGCCCATCTTTAAAAAAGGGAAGGCAGAGGATCCTGGGAACTACAGGCCAGTCAGCCTCACCTCAGTCCCTGAAAAAATCATGGAGCAGCTCCTCAAGGAATCAATTTTGAAGCACTTAGAGGAGAGAAAAGTGATCAGGAACAGTCAGCAGGGATTCACCAAGGACAAGTCATGCCTGACTAACCTAATTGCCATCTATGATGAGATAATGAGCCAGTTTTGTTCAATATCTTCATTAATGATCTGGAGGATGGCATGGATTGCACCCTCAGCAAGTTTGCAGATGACACTAAACTGGGAGGAGAGTTAGATACACTGGAGGGTAGGGATAGGATACAGAGGGACCTAGACAAATTAGAGGTTTGGGCCAAAAGAAATCTGATGAGGTTCAACAAGGACAAGTGCAGAGTCCTGCACTTAGGATGGAAGAATCCCATGCACCGCGACAGACTAGGGACTGAATGGCTAGGCAGCAGTTCTGCAGAAAAGGACCTAGGGGTTACAGTGGACGAGAAACTGGATATGAGTCAACAGTATCCCCTTGTTTCCAAGAAGGCCAATGGCATTTTGGGATGTATAAGTAGGGGCATTGCCAGCAGATCGAGGGACATGATCGTTCCCCTCTGTTCGACACTGGTGAGGCCTCATCTGGAGTACTGTGTCCAGTTTTGGGCCCCACACTACAAGAAGGATGTGGAAAAATTGGAAAGAGTCCAGCGGAGGGCAACAAAAATGATTAGGGGACTGGAACACATGACTTATGAGGAGAGGCTGAGGGAACTGGGATTGTTTAGTCTGCGGAAGAGAAGAATGAGGGGGGATTTGATAGCTGCTTTCAACTACCTGAAAGGGGGTTCCAAAGAGGATGGATCTAGACTGTTCTCAGTGGTGGCAGATGACAGAACAAGAAGCAATCATCTCAAATTGCAGTGGGGGAGGTCTAGGTTGGATATTAGGAAACACTATTTCACTAGGAGGGTGGTGAAGCACTGGACTGGGTTACCTAGGGAGGTGATGGAATCTCCATCCTTAGAGGTTTCTAAGGCCTGGCTTGACAAAGCCCTGGTTGGGATGATTTAGTTGGGGATTGGTCCTGCTTTGAGCAGGGGGCTGGACTAGATGACTCCTGAGGTCCCTTCCAACCCTGATATTCTATGATTCTATGAAATCAAGTCACCATTGACCTGGAGTGGGCAAACCTTTTGGCCCAAGGGCCACATCTAGGTATGGAAATTGTGTGGCAGGCAATGAGCGCTCACAGAATTGGAGGTTGGGGTGTGGGAGGGGGTGAGGGCTCCGGCTGGGCGTGTGGGCTCTGGGGTGGGCCCGGAAATTAGGAGTTCAGGGTGCAGGAGGGGGCTCTGGGCTGGGGCAGGGGATGTGTTGGGGGGGGGGAACAGGCTCTGGGGTGGGGCTGGAGATGAGGGGTTGGGGGTGCAGGAGGGTGCTCCAGGCTGGGACCGAGGGGTTCAGAGGGTGGGAGGGGGATCAGGGCAGGGGGTTGGGGTGCAGGAGGGGGTCAGGGGTACAGGCTCCAGATGGCGCTTACCTCAAGCAGCTCCTGGAAGCAGCAGCATGTCCCCTCTGAATCCTATGCAGACGCACAACAAGGCAGCTCTGCATGCTGCCCCATCTGCAGATGCTGCCCCTGCAGCTCCCATTGGTCATGGTTCCTGGCCAATGGGAACTGCAGAGGTAGCACTTGGGGCAGGGACAGCGTGAAGCCCCTTGACTGCCCCTACATGTAGGAGCTGGAGGGGGGACATGCCGCTGCTTCCAGGAGCTGTGCAGAGTCATGGCACATGCAGAGCGGGGCAAGCCCCCAATCCCGCTCCTCGGCTGGAGCTCGAGGGCCGGATTAAAATGACTGAAGGGCCGGATGTGGCCCCTGGGCCATAGTTTGCCCACCCCTGCCAAAGAGACTATTCTTCCTTCAAGTCCCCATTTCCAGGATTGTCCCAGCAATACAGAGAGCCCCAGTCTGAAGCCAGCCCAGTGCTGAATTGCATTTCATTCACCAGAACCATTTCTGAGTGCCTGGGAAATGAGGCCTTCCCAGTGCTTGACTCGTGCCAGGGCTGAGCCCCAGCACCTCTAGACTTGGCAGTTCATAGCCCCGGAACCTCTGGGCTTGCTGCATCAGTTACGAATGTAAAAAAATTGCTTGAGCTCAGGCCACTCTTTCATTACAAATTAAGCACTGGGTCTTCCCCTCTCTCTACACAGGTTTCTGAGTAGCAGCCATGTTAGTCTGTATCTGCAAAAAGAACAGGAGGACTTGTGGCACCTTAGAAACTAACAGATTTATTAGAGCATAAGCTTTTGTGGGCTACAGCTCACTTCATCGGATGCACAGAATGGAACATATACTAAGATATATATATATGCACACACATACATACAATGGAACTTGTATGGTAATTCCCAGCTTATGTATCTGTCTATCTATCTCTTACTATATGTTCGTGTGTGTGTGTGTATCTGTCTATCTCTTACTATATGTTCTATTCAGTGCATCCGCTGAAGTGAGCTGTAGCCCAGGAAAGCTTATGCTCAAATAAATTTGTTAGTCTCTTAGATGCCACAAGTCCTCCTGTTCTTTCTACACACATAGTCAACTTCTGTCATAGGAAAGACAAAGGTTTCCATCCGCAGAGGAAAGCGAGAGAGAGAGAGAGAGAGAGAGAGTGTGTGCGCGCATATGGAGGGAGGCCAGGGCAGGCAAAGAAGCAGGGGGTGGCAGCAAGTCTTTCTGTGCCCCTGCCCACCTTGCCCCTCCCCTTTCCAGTCCGGTAACCCAGTTAGTCTTTTTCATCTTAATGCTCTGACCAGAACTTCCCAGTGCAGCATTTCCCGTCAAATTACACAGACATTCTGCAGGCGCCCCTCTGAGGAGTGAGTCACACGCATGCAGCTTCCATCAGGTTGTGGATCCCCTCCCAGGTGGAATCAGAAAAGTTACTTTCCGTGGGGCATTCAGAAGAAGACTGGACAGAGACCTGATAAAAAGCTGCAAGGAAGAATCCTGCCCCAGGGCTTGGGGGACAGAGGAGAACAGCTTCCCTCCGCAACGCCCTCCCCGCCATCTAGTCTTTACAGGGACCCTCTTTCCCCCAACAAGCATTTTTGGTTAGTCTCTGCTGCGATCCCCTTTTCCTCCCAGCCAGTCTGCTAGGATCTTCCCCTGCTGGGCTCCCCCTCCCCACCCACTAGTACTTCATAAACTGGGGGAGAATGGCTGTTTAGACACAGCAGCAGCCGCCTGAGGCAACGCACCCCCACTGCGAGCTGGGAGAGTCCCTGGTTCCCAAGCTCCCCCTCACCTGCAGCCTTTGGCTCGCTCACTCCAGGGCCAGGGCGCCAGTGAGTCCCCTGAGACCCTCAGACTAAGTAATGTAGGAAGCCTAAACTTTTCCTACCTTCCCAGGTGAGCCAGTGCAGGTGGCGGGTCTCGCTCTGGGCTCTGCCTCTCCCCCTGACGTGCCTGAAGCCTGATTCACTGGCACCTCAGACAGGCCAGAGTGAAGCTCCACCCAGGGGAGAGGGTGAGTAAGCGAGCGAGCAAGGCACAAACTCTGGAGAGTTATTCCTCGGGATTGCAGGAGAGTGAGAGATAAGGGCACCGCATTCCTGAGCTACAGGCTGTCTGCCTCTCCCTTCCTGTCTTCCCTGCAGCCTATCGCTCAGGTCTCCTCCTGCAGGAAGGGAGTAAACAACTCCCAGGGATTCTGAAATTCAACACTTCACAGAGCGAAAAGAAAGTGATTTAGACATGCCCTGACTGAGCCTTGCACAGCTCCATTCGGGAGTGTTCCCAGTCCTTTCCATCAGCAGATGACCAACCGTGAGGTCTGACCAGGCCCAGTGTCCCCCACAGTGTAACGGGATAGCTTGTATTTAGCAGCAGCTGGCCACTCATTCAGGTTAGTTTCAAAGATGATTTCTAGCTTTTTGGTCTTCACTAGCATAGGCTCATGTTGGCAAAGTTGCAACAAAAACGTTCAAGCCCTGAGGGGCCTATAGTCACTTTGACACCTCCTAAACCCACAGACTTCCAAGTGATGGGTGAGTAGAATAGGATACAATAACTGTGACATCAACCCCACACAGTAAGGGCCATAAATACCCACCTAGATTCCACTTAGAGAGCTAAAATGCTGCCCTTATCTGCACCCAGCACAGCTGCCAGGGCCCGGTGCAGCCGTCATTGTGGGCTGGCAAACCCCTTTGCAACGGAGAGGCCTGGAAATTTGCCATACTTAGAAACTGCAGCTACCTGGAGATTATTGGTTTACAAATTGAAAAGGAATACTTGTGGCTCCTTAGAGACTAACCAATTTATTTGAGCATAAGCTGTCGTGAGCTACAGCTCACCTCATCGGATGCATACAGTGGAAAATACAGTGAGGTTTACAAATTGGTGCTCAGAATGTGAGCTGTTCGGGGCCTGAACCTATGTCTCACTACCTACCTGAGCAGTGCACAGCACGATTCCAGTGGTTGGAGCCTTCTTTTTGCGAATACAGACTAACACGGCTGTTACTCTGAAACCTTCAGCATGACAGTAGTGCTACTAATAATCATTCCCACAGGGGTTACCCCACACCCAAACTGCGTGCATACCCCCAACCTCCCCAGTCAGAGCCAGGGAATGACAAAAAGGGTGAGAAGACAAATGCAGCGTGCTCCAGAGTAGAGGGTTTGAGGTGAGGGAGCTGGCTCCAGCCTAGGTGAAAGGAAGTGGCTGGGCAAAAGAGTCTAGTCCAGATCACAAAGAGTTAACAAAGTGAAATTTCCCTCAGCCGCGGGTGGGGCAGCTGCCTGTTATTTTGTCTTTCATGTTCTACCTTATGAAGCTTGGCAGCAGCTGTGACTGGTTGTGCAAAGGGTGGTGCCCAGGACTGCAGCAGAGGGAGCGGCTCGGGAGGCAGCTCCAATAAGGGAAGCTGTGAGCTGACTCACCTTGGTAACCCAATTCCTGACAAACACAGAGAAGTCTCTCTGATGCGGGGTGGGGGAGGCTTGCAGTGCTTTGTGTTTGCTCTGACAAATGGACACAAGGGATCATAGTCCACACATAGCATGTAGCCTCTGTGGGATCACACACACGCACCTTGACAGAGACCTGAGGGTTCGCTGCCTCTTTCCTTACAGCAGCACTCATAGAGCTGACCATGTGAATAAAATCTCATTGAACTGGACTAAAAATTGCATAGAGACAGACAGGACAGGACAAGACCCTAGATACAGTAAGTGGGGGAAAGAGTCTAGGACAGTGCTTAGGATAAGATTCACAAGGGGACTTGGCTCCCTGCCATCCAGTGGAATTTACAACTCTGAGTTAAGTGCCTTATACAATGCTTGGGGAAAGTTAGGAGCCTATTATTGTAGTGCCTAGGAGCCCCAGTCATGGACCAGGACCCCATCGTGGTAGGTGCTGTACAAACACAGAACAAAAAGACAGTCCATGCCTCAGAGAGTTTGCAATGTAAGTAAAAGACAAGGGGAAACAGATGGATGGGGGAGAACAAGGAGACGATATTGGTCAGCATGAGAGGTGGTGGCCTAAGAATGGGATTCCCAAAAACCAGCATGCTGAGCAGGGAACTGTCTAAGCTAGCCAGTAGGAAAAGCCAAGGAGAATGGTGTGACCTAAGGCAGTGGTTTTCAAACTGCGGGTTGCAACCCGGCACTGGGTCACGACAGCCAACTGGGCCATTAAAAGTCCCATTGGCGGTGCTGCCCGGTAAGGCAGGCTAGTCCCTACCTGTTCTGACACTACGCCCTAGAAGTAGCCAGCAGCAGGTCCAGCTCCTGGGTGGGCAGGAGGGAGGCACAGGGCTCTGTGCGCTGCCCCCACCCCAAGCACTGGCTCTGCACTACTATTGGCCGGTTCCCAGCCAATGGGAGCTGTGGGGGCTGTGCCTGTGGGCGAGAGCCACGCAGAGCTGCTTGTGCACCTCTGCCAGGAGCCAGACCTTCTGCTGACCACTTCTGGGGCGCAGTGCAGTGCAGTCCAGTCCATAGTACCAGGACAGGCAGGAGGCCTGCCTTAGCACCCCTCTGTGCTGCTGACTGGGAGCTACCCAAGGTAAGCCTGTCCCCCAACCCTGTGCCTCAATCCCCTGCCTCAGCCCTGAGCCCCCCCAACCCAGAGCCCCTTCCTGCACCCCAAACCCCTCATCCATGGCCCCACTCCAGAGCCTGCACCCCCAGCCCAGAGCCCTGACCCCCTCGTGCACTCCAACCCTCTTCCCCATCCCTGAGGCCCCCCACACCCTGAACCCCTCATTCCTGGCCCCACCCTGCAGCCCTCACCTCCACACGCCAACTTTCTGTCCCAGCCCTGAACCCCTCCCACACCCCCAAACCCCTCATCTCCAGCTCCCTTGGGTCACGGGCATCAACAATCTTTTAAAAAGGGAAGAAGGAGAACCCGGGGAACTACAGACTGGTCAGCCTCACCTCAGCCCCTGAAAAAATCATGGAGCGGATCCTCAGGGAAACCATTTTGAAGCACTTGGAGGAGAGGAAGGTGATAAGGAACAGTAAACATGGATTCACCAAGGGCAAGTCATGTCTGACCAACCTGATTGCCTTCTATGATGAGATAACTAGCTCTGTGGCTATGGGGAAAGTGGTGGATGTGATATATCTTGATTTTAGCAAAGCTTTTGATACAGTCTCCCACAATATTCTTGCCAGCAAGTTAAAAAAGTATGGATTGGATGAATGCACTATCAGGTGGATAGAAAGCTGGCTAGATTGTCGGGCTCAAAGGGTAGTGATCAACTGCTCAATGTCTAGTTGGCACCAAGCCGAGTGCCTGAGGTGTCGATCCTGGGGCCAGTTTTGTTCAACATCTTTATTAATGATCTGGATGATGGGATAGATTGCACCCTCAGCAAGTTCACAGATGACACTAAGCTGGGGGGAAAGGTAGATACGCTGGAGGGTAGGAATAGGGTCCAGAGTGACCTAGACAAATTGGAGGATTGGGCCAAAAGAAATCTGATGAGGTTCAACAGGGACAAGTGCAGAGTCCTGCACTTAGGACAGAAGAATCCCATGCACCGCTACAGATTAGGGCCTGAGTGGCTAAGCAGCAGTTCTGCAGAAAAGGACCTGGGAATTACAGTGGATGAGAAGCTGGATACGAATCAGCAGTGTGCCCTTGTTGCCAAGAAGGCTAACAGCATATTGGGCTGCATTAGTAGGAGCGTTGCCAGCAGATTGAGGGAAGTGATTATTCCCCTCTATTCGGCACTGGTGAGGCCACATCTGGAGTATTGCATCCAGCTTTGCCCCCCCCCCCCCAACGCCCCCAACTACAGAAAGGATGTGGAGAAATTGGAGAGAATCCAGTGGAGGGCAATGAAAATTATCAGGGGGCTGGGGCACATGACTTATGAGGAGAGGCTGAGGGAACTGGGCTTGTTTAGTCTGCAGAAGAGAAGAGTGAGGGGGGCTTTGATAGCGGCCTTCAACTACCTGAAGCAGGGTTCCAAAGAGGATGGAGCTCGACCGTTCTCAGTGGTGGCAGATGACAGAACAAGGAGTAATGGTCTCAAGTTGTGGTGGAGGAGGTCTAGGTTGGATATTAGGAAACACTATTTCACTAGGAGGGTGGTGAAGCACTGGACTGGGTTACCTAGGGAGGTTGTGGAATCTCCATCCTTAGAGGTTTTTAAGGCCTGGCTTGACAAAGCCCTGGTTGGGATGATTTAGTTGGGGATTGGTCCTGCTTTGAGCAGGGGGTTGGACTAGATGACCTCCTGAGGTTTCTTCCAACCCTAATCTTCTCTGATTCTATGAATTTTCTTCAATTGGGTGGCTAGAAAAAAAGTTTGAAAACCAGTGACCTAAAGGGTTTAGGTGCCTAAAGTCAGGCCAAAGGGAAGTGCCTCCCTTAACTTGGAATTTTTAACCCTCTCCTGAAGGTGACTAAGCCAGGTTAGTGTGCTTTAGTGAAAGATAGAGGTGTCCTTCCCCAACCCCCATAACTTTTAATCCACTTATCAGAGCACTCATCCAGGTTGTAGGACACTTCAGATTCAAATCCATCCCCTTCTGCCTCATGTGAAGCAGGGACTTGAGTTTCCCACCTCTCAGGAAAGTGTCCTAATCACTGGGTTAGTGAATACTCTGGAGCAAAAATCTCTCCTGTTGAAGCTTCTCCACTGTGTATAAATAATTATTACTTGGTATATGGGGACTGGAATCTGGGTCTCCTGCTTCCCACATAAGTGCCCTAACCACTGGGCTATACAGTGATTCTTGCCCTATAGCCCAAAAAATATGTAAATATTTATTTAAGTTGCTGTGCCCAAAAAATGAGGAACATACAATTAGTAGCCACTTGTGAAAAGTTTGGTTTAAGTGACTTGCCCACCATCACACAGGAATTTATGTAAGTGACAGGGACAGAATCCAGTTTTCCAGGTGTCGTTCAGTTGCATTAGTCACACAACCCTCTTCTTTTCCTGCAAACTCCTGCCTTGTTCA